GATGCATGATGAAGGATGATGATGGATGATGATGACCGATGATGGTGGTGGATTGAGGCGCCAGGTGGTTGGTAGGAGGGGGGGGTGGCTAGTAGTAGTAGTAGTAGTAGTAGTTGTTGTTGTTGTAGCATCAACATGAGTAGCGGTAGCAATAGCGGTAGCAATAACCATAGCAGCAGTCGTCGTCGTCGTGGGGCGACGGCCGAGGACGACTGTGGACAGTGGACACTGCTAGTACAACGGTGCCTCTTCTGCTGTTGCTTCTTATTTAAGTGCTCTTCTTGTCTTCCTCTTACTCTTTCTATGCATCTTCCCTTGGCACCGAGGCTGCAAGACGCAGCGTCACGATGCCCACGCCCAAGGCCAGCGAAGAGCGCAGGCCTTCGAGGCAAGCAGCCTGTGGGGGCGGGAGTTTGCATGTTCCCCAAGTCCAGCGCCCGCAAAGTTAGCCAGTTTGCGAGCAGTACCCCTAAAACAGCAAGCCCTGAACCCTAAACCCTATAAGCCCTATATTCTCCTGAGACGAAGGCTTCCCAGCAGATTTCAGTATGCCCTCCGAGCCTAAGAGCGAAGGCCCATGCCACGTCTCTCACCAGCATTGGCACGGCCCATGCAATCGCTTCATCTGCCGGCCTCCAAGGGGCCAAAGGCTGCTGATTCGTTTTTGGATGTTGGGTACGTTAGCTTCGTTTCTGGTGAAAATTCAAGAGGAGCCCAAGCAACATATTCTGAAATTAGCTGATATAATAAAATATCATATCAGATCATATAATATCATATAATATCATANNTAATATATTATAATATAGTATAGTATAATGTAATATAATATTTTATAATATAACATAATATAATGTAATATAATATACTATAATATGATATAATATAAAATAACATAGTATAATGTAATATAATATACTATAATATGATATAAATAATAAAAATAACATAGTATAATGTAATATAATATAGTATAATATAATATGTTTCCCTGAGGCCAACTGAATCCAGGCGGCCCAAAGCCAGGCCAAGGACGGCTTTTCGGCTTTTGCATTTTCTGAGTGGCTTCAAACCTTCTCCGGGGGAAGGCGAGGTCGGGTTTAGGGTTTCGGGCTTTAGGGGTTTAGGGGTTTAGGGGTTTAGGGTTTAGAGTTTAGGGTTTATAGGGTTTTAGGGGTTTAGGGGCTTAGGGTTTATAGGGTTTAGGGTTTTAGGGGTTTAGGGTTTATAGGGTTTAGGGTTTATAGGGTTTAGGGTTTGGGTTTATAGGGTTTAGGGTTTTAGGGCTTAGGGCTTAGGGTTTAGGGTTTCGGGTTCCTGAGGCCTGGAGTCCCTCCAAGTTTCTCGGGGGGTGGAGCTACAGTGTCGGGACATTGCAAGAGGAACTTACATCCGAAAGCCCGGTTCTATCATGGCGAGGAAGCATTCGAGCAGCGCGCTGACGCGAAGTCCATCAGAAGGAGCGTCAGCGTTATCGGTTGAGTTGTCAAGTTGTCCGTCTCCTCTGCACAGATGAGACTGTGCCGGGTTGAGAATATATATTATATATTACATTATAACATTATATCAACATTATATTATATAATAGTTTTTTATATTATAGTAATAGTATATTATACTATATTATATTATGGTTCTGGTCCAAGCTTTGGAAGCTGGCCTGGTCTCTCCATCCGATTCCGCCCCGGTCTGGCCCAGCAGAGGAGACTACTCTTCCGCACAAGCCCGCTCCAACGACGGCGAATCCGAAAGAAGTGGCGACAGCCGGGATCCCGGACGTTACGGTTTGGGGTTTAGGGTTTGGGGTTTAGCGGTTTAGGGTTTAGGGTGTAGGGTTTTGGGTTTAGGGTTTAGGGTTCCTCGGGCCCTCTGGAACCGCTTACGGTGCAGCTGCCAAAGTGCCCAAATACGACAAAAACACCCAGCAACAAAGACATGCAAAGCCCGACACCCGCACCACATGCAATTGGCATCTCCGCCCTTATGGCCTTATGAGTCCTTTTGGGTAGATTCCGGCCCAACCGGATTGCAGAATCCAAGCAGAGGTGAAGACGAAATGATGCAGCAGGCTCCTGCAGCTTGTCTCGGCAGATGAGCACCAGCAGGGATAAGGATGTGAGAACTTGAGAGGTCAATACTGGTTCAAATGATTTTGGGCGGAGGGGGTTGGGCACTGTTCGGACGTCATGGTGTTCACATTGTACCTTCCCGCGGTTGCCCAGATTCATGAACCCGCCCAGTGCTACTCCAGACCCAATCCGTGCTGACAGTTTCTGATGTAGAGTCAGCAACTGCTGCAGCTCAGGATTGCACCGGCCCAGTAGGTAAATCGAGATGCCTTGTGGGGCTGTGCGTTTACACACCGCACCACAAGTTGATTTTTGCTCGGGTCACTCTAAACCCCGAGCCCTACACCCTCAACCTCCGTCGACTTCGTGAAACTTGAGGTCGTTGAGCTCTTCGATGCAAGCTTCTCGTGGCAAGGGGAAGTCCCACCCGAGGCGCGCGCCGGCTTTGGCAAGCAGCCTCTGTGCCTGAGACTCCCGAAGTCCATCGAATTCTCAAGGGACGCCAAGCTCTGTTTAGGGAATTATGTCATAGCAGCCCGGAGACTGGTGTAGAGTATGAAATTGCACATGACTCACAGACGCCTTCGGGAGGTCAGGTCGTAGTCTTAGCAAAAAGTCGAAGGGGCTCGTTTTGGCAAGTGTGGTCCATGACGATCCCTGAATACTGTCATGCCGATCTTCAGACCTCCCAGTCCCAAGCCCCTGATATCTTGAACCTGACTCCAGAACCCGGCGCCCGAAGCGATCCGGCCCTACTTGTACGGCAGTGCATCCACCCTCCATGTACGTATGAAATGTTTTCTTGTTGTTCTATGTGTATGTGTATTCCTCTAAGCCACTTCTGTGGAAGTCCAAGTGGGCACCTCCTCAGCGCTTTGTCCCGGAAGGCGCCTCAGGACAAGCCGCCGGTACTGCGCCCCTCCAATGCCGGAACGCGAAGGACGTGATGTCCTCGTTTCTTCGGATTCGTTCCATCTTTTCCAGAAGAGTGGCTGACAGCCAAGATTGTAAACTGTAAACCAAGTTCTTGCCTCAGACTAGATGGCATGTTCGGGTTCGACGTTTAGGGTTCAACAGGCACCGGCATGCTTATGTTCGGTCAGTTCTTTGGGACTTTGCTTGCCCTGGCATCTTGTCAATCGCTTCTGCAGATGTTGATCTTGCGGAAGCAACTAGGAACAGCTGTTAGCAATAATGTTTCCTTGAAGAACCACCGTGGCCATCGGACATTAGACAGTGCACTGCCTTATAGTCAGGTTAGCATTCTACCGATCGAGCTCCCTGCCGCTGCCAGCGGCAATGCAAGTATTGCCGGGTGCTCGGAAGCTCGAGTCGATTGCCACAACATGCCATGACTTGCTCCATTCTCCCATCACAACAATAAATACAAAGCCCCGATTACTTAAACCCTATGCTCCATGTTGCTCTATCTCCCAAGAACCCCATTATGTGTACATGCGTATACCAGGCCGGAGTTGTCTGTGGTGCCCACGCCTCCCACGCCAACGCCCAGATCTGTGGTGCTCTCAGATGGCTCATCACCTTAAACCGTCAACTTGAAAAGTTGTGTTTTTCATGGCTAGTGTTTGTTGTGAATGGCCTTGAAGCTCCCAGTCTTCCAGCTGCAGGTGAAGGCCTCGATGGCTTCTGCTGCCGAGGCTGCATCATCCGACGACTCAGCAGAAGAGCCACAAAGCTGCGGCAAAAGCATGGCATGGCACTAGTCTCTGTGCAGCATCTAGGCTCGGAACATGGTGGGCAGGCGAAGCAAAGCTTGCACAAACCAGGGCTTTTTTCCATCTCTTGGCACTTGGCTTGGCGGTCCTCTCGTGGGAGCGTCCATTTCGTTTGCTGCGGGGATTTTCGTTGTCCCAATCTGCAATGCAAGTGTGGGTGGAGAGTGGCAAGAAGCAAGACGGGGTTGACCATGTCCTGGGAGAGGACCTTGAAATTGGCGAGGATGGGGCGCTAAGGCTTGCCGGACGCGTCGTTGGGTGTGCCGTGGACGTGTCCACGGCGGAGGGCCAGTCGAAGGCGCGATCCTTGGCCGGCTGCGTTGAGTGGATTCTTCTCGAGTTTGGTGAGTGGACAATGATTCCTGTAGAAAACATCGTGGCTGCATGCAGTGGCGGGCCCACGCGAGTTGCAGCACGACTTCGCAGTGCTGAGCAGGTCGTTGGAGCAGCATTTGCACTGCAAGTAGGCGCAGATGCCTTGCTTGTGCCACCAGAGGTCGTCGAGACGGCACTAATAGCTAAGTCTCAGCGTGGTGAGGTGGTGCCAGAGGAAGCACCTGTGGAGCGCAGCAGCTTCGAACTCCAAGACTTTGAAGTCCTCCGTCTCGGTGACGGAGGTGTTGGCCAAAGGGTTTGCGTTGACCTCACTTGCCTCTTAGACGTTGGTGAGGGCATGTTGGTCGGGTCTTCCTCTTCAAGTTTAGCCCTTGTCCATGGAGAGACGCTGCAGTCTGATTTCGTTCCCTCGAGACCATTCCGCGTGAATGCTGGCGCAGTCCATGCTTATATTCTTATGGCAGATGGCTCAACAAAGTACCTGAGCGAGTTGCGTATGGGGGACGCAGTAACCATCGTGAGCTGCAGCGGCGAGAAGCGGGTCGGTGTGGTAGGCCGCTGCAAAGTGGAGCGCCGCCCGTTTCTTCTCCTCACCTGGAAGGACAGCTCGGGCCGTGAGTCAGGAACACTACTGCAGCAAGCAGAAACGGTTCGTCTACTGCAAGCTTCCGGCGACTGCGTATCAGTGACATCACTGCAACCGGGCTCACGCATCCTTGGCTGGACCTCGGACGGAGCGCGCCACATCGGCGCCAAGGTACCGGGGCAGATCGCGGAGCACTGAGAAAAGCCGTGCTGCCATGCTGTATGGTAACCCTTGCATTTTCGCTCGTAATAATCGTCGTGCAAGTAGCTGCAACAGCTAAGTCGCTTGAACAAACCTTTGCTGCATTTCGAGTCGCATGCGAAGAGTTTGCAGCAACATGGTCGTCGACCGTTCTGCTGCTTGGCATCTCACCGAATATCTGGTTAAGCAGCCCCCAACTTGTCCCGACGAAGCCAGAAGGATGAGGGCTGGTCATGGCTGGTCAACCGTCGAAGCCACCAAGACCTTACCGAAGTGCCATCTACTGAACGCATGAATTCTGACGATTTGTATGGTCACAAGTCTGGCAGACTCGTCTTTGTGACCATAATATGTAAGCATAGGTGACCTGCGTTAACTTCTCTACCCCAAGTGGCGAGCGGACGACCTCTTGCAGGCAGCGGAATCAGCTGTGCAGTTAAGATGCCGGGACCTCGGATTAGGAAAGATGAAGGAAGCATCGGGGTCTTCAAAGCGTCTTTTCTCACATTTCAGCTGAGGTGTATATTATGCGGTTTAAGGAAGTTTGGGGTTGGAGAGACATGCGTTTTTCTCCTGATCTGTCGATCTGGCTTCAACTCCAATCCCTCCTCCGTCGCCGGGCCTATCTTCCAACTCGACACATGTCAGTCTCAAGCAGAAGCTGAATAGATCTTCAACTAACTAGCCTCTGCGCTGATGTGCACCAAGCCAAGCCGAACTCTCGTGTCATGTCGCAACAGTGAGGCATCAACTTCTCCCTTCGGCCTGGCCAGTTATTGGCTGCCCTTGGGAGTGCAGGCGCTGCGGCGCCACCTCGGCAGTGAAGTCGTCGCGCATGCAGCCTTCAACATCGAATCTGCGGCTTTTTGCCCTGCCGGGACTCTTTGGTGGCAGGCAGTGGCAAGACGACGCTACTCCTGGCTTTGTTGGGTGAGGCCTGTTGGAGTAACGGTTTCCCAGTTTAGAAAGGCGCAGCTTGTCAGCCTCACATGGTGTCTGCACGGACAAAGTCACTTCATCAAAGTAAGGTTGGGCCCCAAATCTTCCGGGATCCCAAAATGTGCCAATGCCCTCTTTGCAGGTGCCTTGCGTGTCCGGCCGCTGTGCGGCACCAAGCTCAGGGCTCAGTGGCTCAGACTGCTAGCACACAGCACATCAAAGGGAGCTTCTTTGGGTCTTGCGGGGTGCATGTACGATACGAGTATAGCGACTACACGGAGGTTCGTCCATGGCTGAATTCAGACCCCTTATGTTCGAGTTCACGAAGTTTTGGGCTCGTTTTGGCGACATCCTCTCCCAGGCGATTTCCATGGTTTTCCTTGGCAGATCGGGCTGGGACTTGAGGCTTGTCGAATCCTCAAGAGTTTTCGAGGCTGCATGCTGTGATGCTGACGATGATGATGCGACAGCCATGATTGCGATGATGATTGTTGTTGCAGTAGTTCGTAAGCATCGACGAAAAATGGATCATTGTAGGTTGTAGTTGGATTCCATGGGCCGAGGTTCTCTAGCCAAGGCAGCCGGGAAGGTGGCCTACTGTGGTCTGCAGTGTCGTTCTCAGATGTTTCCTGCGGCATTTTTGCAGAAGGGTGCTTCGTGCGACGTTTTCCTATTGGGAAGACAAAGTTTCAATTTTCAATTGCTAACTAGCAGCATGGCGACCCCTAGGTTGTGCCACCAAGCAAGTCCATCTGCACATGGTTTGAGATTGAAGAGATTCTCGTCTCTTTCCCTGATTTGTCTCACCAGACACTCACAGGCCACAGCTCATCCGGGGCAGCGTCTGCGAGAACGTGCTGTTCGGCAGGCCGCACACCCCGACGGTAATTATGGAGAACCACTTCGTGAGGGTTACTCCACACCGCAAGGTTCCAGGGTTTCGAAATCAGAGGGGTTCCTGGCAACATTGCACTTCTGCGTCTTCTCCGGATCCCTTGGCAGTTCTTTCCCGGGCAGTTCATGTTTCATGCTCTTTTGACTGGGGGCTTGAGGCGTAGGTCAGGTTTCCTGCTGTAGGGCTAGAGTCATCGAGCGTTTCCTGCAGTCTGGTTTGCATGGCACCCGAAGGTGACCAGGACACCTCCCACGTAATGTCCTCAGTAAGCAGCACGCACCGAGACGGTATGATGTGCTGTGCTGTGTCTCAGGATAGGATACAATAACATAAGCTATGCTGTGGTATGGTCTGATCTGATTGGTATGATCTGAGATAATATAATATGGGGTGCTGTGATGTGATCTCCAAGGATATGGTACGAAACGACAGGATATAGGAAATTGATACGTGATATGATGCGTCTGAACAAGTTATCGTTCTAAGTAGGATTATTGCTCTGCTTGGTATTGTTATGGCCATGACAGCTCTAGCATCAGCCATCTTACATCGCCGCTAATGCTGTTGCTCTATGTCTAGTATGTCCTTCAGTATACGATATATCTATAGATGTATAGTACATTTTGCATGCAACTATTTGCTATCGTGCTTGTTGCTTTGACGGTTGCCCTCATGCCAGGAAACAGAAAGTTCAAGCTTCATCCTCGGAATGCCCGGATGGCCAGCCAAGCCATCCTGCAATCCCAAGATTATAGAACCGTCGTTGGTTTTAATCGGAACCCTAATCCGTACAGAACCGAGATCTGTGGAAATCCGTAGCCTAAACAAGGCACCAGGTTATGTCATTTTTGGCAGATCGCTGAGTAGGAAAAGGGCCTTCAGTACTCTGGGGCACTTAAGGAACAAATCGATAGACCCTTAAAGCAACAAAAAGCCTTGAACCCTAAACTCTAAAGCCACCAGGCCTTATGACCATGACCGCTACCTGGACACCATGGCTGCCTGTGGTCTCTCTGACTTAGCGAAGGAGACTGGCCAGGTCTCTTGAGCGTGCCTTCACCAGTTTCGTAAAGTTGTAGCCACGGTGATTGCGAGCTTGACAGTGTGGCGCTTCGGGCTCTTGCCTGCTGCTGTGCATGTCAAAGCCGGAGGAGGAGGCGACAGCAAATGCATACGCCTCGGTGCTGTGCACTGGCACTTTTTCAATTGTGCGCGGGTCTGTTTTGCAATGCGCGACCGAGGCCACGTCCACGAGGGCTCCTCAAGTGCCCCAAATCTCAGGCGCAGCATACTGTGGGTAGACGAGACGAACAGACCGGTCAGCAGCATTGTTCTTCTGAAGCTGCTCGCATCTGTCTCCTCAGCAATGCAGCACACACGGCCACAGTGTTTAATCCACGGGCAGAGGCGACACTGTACTAGCATGCATCTGCATACATGTACAACAAATATCACACCAAACCAGGCACTCATGCACGCACATACACACACACATACATGCAGCTGCATATGTGTGTATATGTGTATATACATACACACAGAGTTTGAATTATAGATAGACTTGCTTACATGCTCACACAGACAGACGGACCTACAGACCCATCTGGTTGCCAGCCTGCCTGCCCACTTACCCACATACACATGTACATAAACATGTATTGTACACATCTGCATCGACATGTATATGAAGACACTCACATACACGCACCATGCAGACTACATAGCCTATCAGCCCGACTGAAGGCACCAAGCATAATTAAGCAGGCAAGGACGACATCTTCAGAATCACGAAACCTGGCGAGCAAGCTTCCGAGACTGCTCTTTTGCGATACGGCTTGGGGTTTATGAGTGCTCGTTTATAAGGGATGTAAACTGCGATGTGAAGCAGCCTGCCTGCTCAGCAAGACCACCCCGCAGGCGGCCAACGTGTGCGGGTGGGCATCGCGCGGGCCATCTACGGCCAAGCAGAGCTGATCCTTCTGGTACGCCTTGGGACCATTTTTTCTCCCGGGTTCTTAGTAGGGAATGGGGGAATGGATCCCTATGATAGTCCCTCAAGGTCCCCTATAGTAGTCCCAATAACCCATTCCTCCATTCCCTACTAAGAACCAAGGAGTTTTATGATGATTCTGAATCCCCAGCTCCAACAGTAGTGGGTTACTAATACTAACCATATCAAGATGTGACAACGTAACCCCATTCTTCAGTAACTGGAGTCGTATAGGGAATGTATCAAAGTGACTACGGTTACTATTTACTATTGGTACATTTTGCCAACATCCTTGTTATTGTTGTCATAATCACTCTATGTTAATTAAATTCGGACATCTCATTTCCATGACCACTCTAATTGTAGAGCTCTAATCTCAGTATTTTTATACTTGTATTGCTACTGTTGTTGTCATAATTAATATGGAGCCCCTTCGATTCAGTTTTCGTATGGCCTGCGCATCTCACGTCAGTATCACATGTTCTTGCTGGGCAAGTTTGGCGGTGATTGAGAAACCCTAAACCCTAAACCGTTCCGTTCCGTGCTCTTGTCATCTCTTCCGCTGAATATTTGTTGATACGGGCCTGAATACTTGCAATGGCAGTTATCCGAATCCCCCTCTCAAAGTACCTACAGTTTTTTACATTTTGTGTACGACAATAACCCCCAGCAGAACTAATTCTAATACCCACTATAATGTTCTTCCAATGTCCTACATTTCGACCACTTTTGTACCGTCAGTATCGTATCGATTCATTGATCAGCTGCGTGTGTAAATATTCGACATCGACTCGCTTCAGCTCTCTGCAAGCTGGCCGACATGGATTCTTGATCAAGCATCCCGCACCCGGTCGTAGCATTGGGCAGGATGACCCGTTCGCCAGCTTGGATCCACAAACCTGCCCGGATCTTAGGGTCGCAGAATCGTTTCCACGAGACCTTCTTCGAGAGTTCTGATTATGCATTTATCGGGGACGGACAGCAAGAGGAGACGCTAATGTGGAGCAAGCTTATATTGCACACTCCTTATTCACGTCGTTGCTACTGGATGCGTGCGATCGGGATATTGTTTGTGGTGAAAGGTATGGGATGGGTGGTCTGGTAGCCGGCCATTGCATCCTTGTACAGCTCAGCCCTGCTTTGAATACCAAACTCAATCATGAGATGTAGGATTGCTGAAGCTCGCGCAATGCCTAGGTGGACTTGTCTGGCATGCTGCTATTCGAGGATGAGAGCGACAGAGAAGCCGCAGTTGGAACCCTTAGTCAGCCTTAGGCGAAACGGGACAGGTGTACCTGGTAAGTCAGGCTGCAGGTGCAGTAAGACCCTCGCTTGGGACGGTCACTCTGCCCATACTTGGGTTTCACGATGAACCTGGTAGTGCAGATGCCGAAGAATCGGGAGCGCAGCTAGGGAAGATGCCATGTGCCCTCAACCGAACAGGATTTCAGCGGCAGTTCGATTCCCGTAGGCATTCATCATTCTTTGCACGGCTGTTTTTCGTGATTCCAAGTTCCGCGAGGACGGCTTCATCGGAGTGCAGTGGTCTTGACGACCACGTCCGCCCAGCTAGCGCGGGCGCGGCACACAGGGCTCTCCGCTGTTTATGGAATGTTAGGAGCTGGGGGTTCGCCTCAGAGTTGCTGTTCAGGGATCTTGGCCGCCTGCTCCGGCGTAATTGATGCGACGCATACCCTGGCTATAAAGCTCGAAACTCCACATGACATTGAACCCCCCGCCCCCCACAAAAATCATAAAGAAGGCATGAAGGCAAAAGCTCTGAAGCCCTTTGAAGCCTGAAGCGCTCTTTGCTTCCCTCCCTGAGGCCGCTGATATTGTACTGGTCCTGGAGGCAGCCGATGCTTTGTGGGGACTTCTCGGTCTAGGGGCTCGGGGAGCTTAAGCTTCGGTCTTCCGCAATGCCAGGTTATTCATTTCGTTGTCGTTATATGATAATGGACTATGACTATCATTACTGTTTTTTTATTCTTTACTAATATTATTATTATATTATAGTGATGGTTACTATTATTTGAGCCCAGCAACATGCTCGTCTTTGGCAAGTCTGAGATGTCTCAATCGCAAGACACGAAAAGGTAGCCGAGGCAGCGAATGGCATGTCACCCATGCGTGATGTGGCAGCCAAGGAACCTTCTGCTAGCTTTGGCAGCTTCGATTTTCGATCATGGGAACAAGCCGGTAAGTGCTTGCGTGAGGTAAGCGTCTTCCATGCGCATTGAAATGAGCCCCCCATATACGCTTAAAGCCCTTTCAGCCCTGAAACCCTCAACCTTCAAACCCGACACCGAGAAGCCCTCAACCCGAAATAGCCTACGGACCTACATTGCCTTATAAGTCTTAACTACCCTACCGTTGAGTGGATGCTGGCGAAATGGACTTCGACAGCCCTTCGATTTCCCGGGCCTCGCGCTCCCACAACGAGCGACTCCCGGCTGGCTCGCCGGCCTTTCTGCCTCCACGGAGGCCAGAGTTTAGGGTATAGGGGTTTATAGGGTTTAGGGTATAGGGGTTTATGGTTCAGGGGTTTAGGGGTTAGGGGTTTAAGATTTAGGGTTTAGGGGTTTAGGGTTTAGGGGTTTTGTAGGTCCCAAATGGTAAGAATATCTTCGGAGCCCGAAATTATGGTGCAAGGTAATGCTGCAAACAGGCTCATGGTGGACTCTGCCAGTCCTCAGATGCCTTTGGAGCTGAAAGTCACTGAAAAGAGTGAACATGCGATGATCCCACACAGACAAATATGCGCATGTTTTGCTAGGTGCGCGTGTGTGCTGCAGATGTGTATGGGTATGCGGCATGCATGCATGCGTCTGCACATACATGTGTGTGCTTACTTGTTACTCTGCCTGTTTGATCAGGATCATGTTTGCTTATGTGTGCAAGTGTATGTGCATGCAGCTTCGACGTTTGAACTGTTTGTCATGTGCCCAAGCGCAGGCCGGTATAGGTCCGTTCGCATTGGAGATTCCTGATTCCCAGGCGGCTCCTTGTCTCGAAGACACGACCTTCACAGGCTCTCAAACGTGAGGACTCTTCCGATGAGTCGGAGAAGCTCCCAGCAAAATCCTCACGCTGCTCCAACTGCGGTCATTTGCTGCTCGGCGAATCTTCGGCGAATGCTAGATCCGAATCCACTGGGACCCGTAGGCCTCTTGTTATTCTTAACGACGGAAGTTGTTCAACATTTGCATTCATCGAAGACTTTGGGGAATCTTTGGCAGTGTTCGGATTCATCCAATCGCGGAGGCTCACGGACATGGACCTGGTCTTCTGCCCGCACTGCGGGCAGAGGTGCGCAGGTGGCTTGGACATGGCAGCGGCCTTCGATGCTGTTAGGAATGCCGTCGAGGAAGAGAAAGCCAGGCAATCGCACACAGCCTCGACAGCCGTCTTGCACTCCTTGGAAGCAGTGGCCATGGTGATACAGGATATGCTTCAAGTGAAGTATGGGCTTGTCCTGGATGAGGCGGACCTTTTCGCTAAGCTGCGGCACCATTGCAATGGTTCCACTCCAGAGGAGGTCGTTACTCTCTTCAACTCTCAGAGAGACCTTCACTTCCGGACCCGGGGCTGCCAGCGTCTCATTGCCTTGAAGCTGGACTGGAAGCCGATGGAGTTCACACAGCTCTGTGCCATGGTGCGCACGATGCCCGGAACGGCGTCCGGCGTCGCAGTAGCACAGGAGACCGTGGCAGAAGGCACTGCAACTGCAGCTCCGGTAGCCATCGCCGTTTTCCGCGAGGCCTACGGTGCAGACGGGCCAAAGATGTTGATGGGCCGCTGCGGGGGATCCTCGGCCCCACCGCTGCTTGCACTCAACGCCCGTAACCTGCGGCTCGCCGGTCTCATCGAGCCGCGGATCGTCAGCGAGCTGCGCACCGCTGGGCCTTCCAAGAAGCCCGTGGAAAGGACGGCCCCTCCTTGGAGGGATGAGTACCTTCGCAGTCAAGTAAGTCACCTCTAGCCATTCGGGGTTCATTATCATCCCTATCTGATCCCTATCTATATATATATATATTATATATATACATATGTATATATTCATACATATCCCCTCGGAAACTGGACAAAGGTACGTGAGCGCCACCAAGGCGCAGGACTCCGCCCTCTTGGAACGTTCTGTGCCGAAGCTGGACCTCTCGGAGACACCCAGGAAGGCCCTTAGGCGCCCGTCCCCACGGCGGAAGGACACTCCGACAGATGTACAGAAGTCAGATCATCGCATCCCATATCACATCACATCAGGTCACGTCACATCATACCAGGTCATATCATATCATTTCGTACCAAGTCATATCTTTATAGCTTTTCATATAGAATTCTATCATACCGTATCATATCATACCAAAGCCGGTCATATCATGTCATGACATACCAGGTCACATCATACCATATCATATCATGTCATATCATATCAAATCATATCATATCATATCATATCATATCATATCATATTTGTTTTCATCTGTTTATTTGTGTATATACATGTTTATGAATTCAGTCGATTACGGTTAGTTGTTTAGCTATTCATGCAGGTAATTATTTGTCTCTTCAGTTTCTCCTCATTTATTGATTCATTTCGTTTGTTTCAGATACATGCGTACATACATACATACATACATACATACATACATACATACATACATATATACACAAACACACATACATGTTCTATGTACATACTTGTTTCTTGCAGGGTTATCGGAACTGATGAAGAAACCACCTTTCCTCCACGTCTCCCCAGAGAGGACGAGAAGGGAGGGAGCTCGGCTACCAGCAGCGCACGGCTGACGCAGTGCAGCACAGAGGCCAGCCGGAGCTACAGCCCCGAGCGGCTACGCCTCTCCGGGCCCCATGGGCCTCTTCCCTTCGCCAACCTGCAGGTGGGCCGGTATAAGCTTTGTCTTCGTCGGACAGATCATGGCAAGTTCGAGCACGATGTATTTGATAGCTCTGTTCGCATAAGTTTAGACTTGTTGGTGCAAAGAGGTATAGCTAACTTGTGGTTATCTCTGCAGTGGTCAGCGATCGCTGCTCGTCGAGGTGTCTGGCCCCGGACCGGGATTGGAGCCGCCTATGGGCTTGGGGCTGTATCAGGACCGCCGGGGCGGGGACCACAGAGAGCCTGTCCTCACGCCTTTGAGAGCGCTGAACGAAAATTATCGAACAGCAAACCCTAACCCCCCAAGTACCTACCATATAGGGCCCTAGGGGCTCTAGTACCCTATATAGTAGGTACCTCGGGGGTTAGGGAAAGGGTCCTCAATCAAACAAGCTTCCATGGCTGCGCCCTCTGCAAGGAGCCTGCGCCCTGCCCAATGGAGCCAATAACTGTGCTTCCTCAGCCATCTCAGCCGGCCTGGTCTCTCGCGAAGAAATAGACAAGGGTTTCGGGCACCCTTCGAGTTATATCTATAATAAGGAACCCTGAGGGAAAAATGTTGGCCCTGTTTTACACGTTTTTCGGATCTAAAACGTGGAGGTAGATTTTTCTGTCGCTGGAACTTTGCCCTGGAGTGCACTGAGGGCTCAGCCGCAAACGCCTCGTCTAAGCGGTCTTATGGGCCTGACGCCACCGACAGGACGGACTTCGAAGTTGCAGCAGTGTGGATACACATAAATAAATATGAAAGTAGTACAAATCAGTGAAAATAGTCAATACAGACATGCAGTGTATGTGCATATGAATGTTATATATATATATGTACATGTGTTTCCTCATTTGTTTACTTGTTTATTCATTTTTAGTTTGTACATACATACATACATACATACATACATACATGCACACACATGAGCAAACAATTGTGGGTACAAGAGGTATGGATACAACAGGCAGAGAGGAAAGGTGTGATGCGGTTGCGCGGGAGTCGGCGGGAGATGAGTTGGCTTCGGAAATCGATTTTCACGGTCTTCCACTACAGGGTCTGGTAATGTATTTCCACATTTTCCCGGCTATGTAGGCGGATGGGCTTTGACCGTTGCAGGGCCATGGATCAGGTCTTGGGCTCGCACGGAGGGGGCGTCCATAAGCGGAGATTCTTGAGTTAAATTTGAGCCAACAGTCATCAGTGTTGCTCATGCTTGTAGTATGCATGTGTTTTGGCAATGCTGATTTTGGAAATGCCTCATGTCCTGCTGCTACTGCGTGCTGCACTGCCCCTAGTTCCATACCACTTGCCACGACGCGCGGTGTGTGTGTGTGTGTTCGGTGCTCCGGCTTCCGTTGCTGCATACTTGCTGCCGCTGCTACCACTACTGGTGCTTCTGCTACTTGCTACTACTTACTACGTATCACTCAGAACGCGATGACGACAAATCTGTTCTAATTACTATGTTCTACTCCTGCTGCTGCTGTTCCTCCTGCTGCTAGTGCCAGTGCTAGTGCTAGTGCCAGTACTCGCACTAGTATCGTACCCGTACTCATACTCCTGCTGCTACTACTGTTGCTGCTGCTGCTGCTGCTGCTGCTGCTGCTGCTACGACTACTACGACTACCACGACTACTACGACGACGACGACGACTACTACTAATACTGACTGAATGCTACCACCACAGCTACAATCACTCCTCCTCCCTACTGCTGCTCCTGCTCCTGCTCCTGCTCTTGCTGCTACTGCTGTTATCGCTAATACTACTCTTCTCTTCCGGCTACTACCTTCACACGCAAGAACAAGAAAGCAACTAAGGACAAAGCTTAAGCTCCAGCTACAGTTGCTCGGCTCCTGCTGCTGCTTCCGCACCCATCGTCATGTCGACGACGACTGCATTCTCACTGTCCGCTCGTACCAAGCGTAGTCAATGCAGCAGCAGATGGGGAAGCAGCGATTTTACGCTGGTGGAGATGTCTTATTTGTTCGACAACGGCAGCAACCATGATATTCGCGGTGCTCGTGCCAATGCTACTGGTAGGACTAGACGAGAAGATCGATTGCCACCAACAGCCGACCAAAAAAAACAAGAAGCCAAAAGAAAAGCCCAGCGCTCTCAAAGAAGGTTTCTGGCTGAGGACCCTACGCTTCTTTTTTTCCTGGGGGGGCGTAGGTTGCCAAAGCTGTCCAACACCTTGAGCATTGGGAATTGAATTCCGGAGCTTCGCTGAGGCCTGGATGTGCCCAAGCTGACACCCCGAGTTTTGGCTCCACCTTCACCTTGGATGTGAGGCCACGCTGTTCTCCAGGGTGTCTACAGTAACATGCAGCGCGGTTTGACTGTTTTTTGGCGTTGCTTTTTCGAGGGTCGTTCTATGACACTCAGTAGGATTAGCACTGTCACTGGAAGTTTTTTTATTCTCTTCGCGTCGCCATGAAAACTTCAGTCTGGACGGGCTCGGTTTCTGACAAGGCGGAAGCGCCAGCCGAAGGCTACCCTTTTCGTGTGTTTGCAAGCTTTGCTTGAAACGATAACTGCAGGCACGAACCAGACCGACCTACATGCTTCTTACCATTGCAGAGAATATTGGTTGTCAACTTTTTGTTAACGTGTCACGGACGTGTGCGGTTTCCATCCTCAGCCGGAATTTTTAAGCTACCTTGCAGCTCGGGAACCCATGCAGACAACCTGAACCCTTCCTTGACAGGTGGGGGCTACTTGGAGCATGGTTGGGGCCCGCGAGCATCTGAGACTTGAAGTGATGTCCCGCATCACTTTGATGGACCAACCGCCCACATGCCACGTAGAGCATCCTCGATACACCTGTACCATCAGTTCTTGCCATGTGCATCACGCACAACTAAGAATCACTTCAAAACTCTCATTATACGGCTACGTCGCCAATGAGTTTGCGCTATTTTCAGATGCATCAGGCCTGTACCCCAGTAAATGGACAGCCGTGCAGCGATTGACGGACACTCCTGCCGTGCAAAGCACACGAAATTCGAGTCTTGTTTTTTAGACTGATATATTAGGACCTGCAGCCTGCGTCTCACAAATTCGTTTGCAAAATGCAATGCTGATCTATTGCGCGTGGTGTTTGACATGACCGATTGCTGACCGGCGTGGCCAGCTTCCGTGCCAGCTCAAAAGCAACTACTGGCATCTGGTCTGTGAGCCCCGTAGTGAACAATCTATCGGGCAGGTACTCGTAGTGTGACTGCGGCTCCCCAATCTTCAAAGAACCCACATGTCTTTCGGCGGAGGGACACAGGCATCGGGTTTTGTACCCAGTCAGTCTTTAGTCTGCATGATGAGATGAGACGGTGCGGGATTGTGGTCATGATGGCGGCAAGGATGGCGGTGATGACGATGTGACAGCAGTAGCAGTAGCAGCAGCCGCCGCAGCGGCAGTAGAACTAGCACTAGCACTAGCAGTAGCAGCAGCAGCAGGAGCCGGAGCAGGAGCAGGAGCAGGAGCAGTAGCAGTAGCAGTAGCAATAGCATAGCAGTAGCAGTAGCAAGAGCAGCAGCAGCAGATAACGCAAGCACAAGCACTAGCAGTAGCACTAGTACTCGTACTGGTACTAGTACTAGTACTGGTACTTGTAGTCGTCGCCGTACTAGTAGCAGTAGTTGTTGTAGTAGTTGTAGTAGCTGTAGTAGCTGTAGTAGTAGCAGCAGCGGCAGCAGCAGCAGCAGCAGCAGCAGGAGCAGTAGTAGTAGTAGTAGTAGTAGTAGTAGTAGTAGTAGTACTACTACTACTACTACGACGAATGCAGCAGTGGCAATGGTAGCAGGAGAGGGTTTGTGTGTTCAGGCTTCCGGTTTGAAGCAGAATGTAGGGGCTTGGTGCTGAAGTTGAGGGCCACATGTTAGTAAGCGCCAGGGGATTTGCGTGTTGAAGCTTGGTTAGGGTTTATAGAGTTTGCTGTGGAATGGAAGGATGGCATGGCAGTGCAGTGCGGCCCTCCCGCGGACCTTCTAAGAGGCTGGGAGCCTAGACTTTCGGAAGCCAGAGTGCAGGGATTCGGCTGTTGGGTTGTTATGTAATTTTTTGCTTTGTAAGAGGTGGTGCAGATATTCAACTTGTCACTGTGGTGGGCCCCATACTGTGATGTTCCAGAGTGGTCATGGCTGTCCCACTGCTGAACTTCCTTTATACAGGCTCCCGTGTACCAGATGGACGGGCAGAAGCTGTGTAATGTACGGGCCTCAATAAATTACGTTCCTTATTATAAATATAGTAAAATATACCCCCAAAACCCTATTCTAACTATGAAATTAAGGCCACTATATTACTGTTGCGCCCCGAGGCCGCCTCTGGTGCCCTCGTCCTGCAAGGTCTCCACAGCAAGTTTGCCGAGCTTCTGGCAGAGATGGATGCGGAAGCCTCGACGATGATCGCGAATTCCAGCGGTCCGTCGAACGCCGAAAGGAAAGCAGGGTGCAGGCTTCATCTTGCAGGGAATCTAGCTGAGAATATGCAACAAAAGAACAGATCCGACCGTAGTAGCAGTAGAAGTCGTAGTAGTCGTCGTCGTGGTAATCGTATTGGTAGTCGTAGTGGTAGTCGTAATAGTCGTAGTCGTAATCGTAGTATTAGTCGTAGTCGTAGCAGTAGTCGTGGTGGTCGTCGTCGTCGTCGTAGTCGTAGTCGTAGTGGTAGTCGTAGACGTAGTCGTAGTCGTAGTAGTAGCAGAAGTAGTAGCAGTAGTAGTAGTCGTCGTCGTCGTAGTGCTAGTAGCAGCAGCAGCAGCAGTAGTAATGGTGGGAGTGGGGGTCGGGGTGGCACTGGGGTGGCTACAGTTCTAGGACTTGGACTCGTACGGGTAGCAGGTTTGTCAGTAGAGCTGGTACTCCTACTAGTGCTACCCGTGCTTGGCACAGATGGCAGCGCAGAGAAGAAAGAGGATGATTTTGTGTTCTTTCTTGTCGCACATATCATAGTGAGCGATCTTCAGGAGAACAGCATGTGGACATTGTCATTGTGGTCGCAGCTATGGTTAGTCCGAATCCCGGCAGGAGTGTGGACGCGCAGCCGCGGCTGCCATTGAAGGCAGTGAGGACGCTGCACAGTGCCATAGCCTGCTTGCATTGCTTAGTGTCTTCTGGTGTGTACTGTCGGCCGCGTCTCGTGCTTCATGTTTCATAACTGACTTTCTTGCTACTATATCCATTATGCTTTAGTAGCCCAATACAGTACAGTATAGCATAGTATAGTATAGTAGAACCATATCATCTTGGATTTAGTCCCCAGAGACTTCACCAGGTACTGCTCCAGGGTGGCAGTCGCAAATGCCGGCGGCCGTCCTGCAGGAGCTCAAGGCTTTGTGGCAAAAGAAGGCCGGTACTGCCCCGAAGGGATTCGCTGCAAGGGCTATTGTAAGAGGTACTATATGGGCTACTATGAGTGAGTGCGTGGTGGTGGCTACCGCCAGATGCTTCCCAAACATGGGAGCAAGTACGAGATTCTTGTGATAAGCAGGCCGATGCCCACACTCAACCGACAGTTCCGGTCCCTTTGGTGATTTCCAGGTATCAATTGTTCGTGCTTTGCTCCCTGAGAAGCTTGAGCATGACGCGGCATGCTGTACAGGCCTTAATGATTACCTATATTATTTTGGGGGATCCTTATTGCAATAATTACCTATATTATTTTGGGGGTTCCTTTTTTACAATTAGAGTATGTTATACTCCCCCAAGCCCTATTCGAATTATTATGGCCGCTACATTACCTCGAGCAAGCTTTCACCAACGAGGCTGGCGGTAGCTCGGCCATGGGCTGTGACTCGCTCGTAGTCCTATGATCCCGCTGCTTAGTTGTTGTTCCAGGGCTACTGTAGACGACTATAATTGCTGCTATTACAGTTGCGACTATGTATGTTATTAAAGATTGTGTTGCAATTATATATATATATATGTGCATAT